CCACACGGCTGATATGGTCCCCATTGATTTTAAACGTATTTTGCGTCTTTCTCCCTCTGTAAATGTTTAAGTGTAAGATAGCCTTTTAGTAATTTAGGGATACAGCTTTCCGTGGTTCTAACCTGAGTCCATGCCCACTTCGGTCTCCGCACAATGGTCAGAAACAGATATCTCAATATTGTGATCGGTTGTGCTCAGTTACTCTTTGCTTTACCAGTAATTTACGGAAATTTCACCCCAGTAGACATCTGCGTCACTGATTGCCCAACCGAATATGTTTTTCCAGTTTACTGTGTACATGATCAGTGCCCGATCTCTACTGTCTTTGACCACACTAGGCGATTTTTTTCTTCACTACAACTTTACATTAGTTAGAACACCTATTGAGGTCTAGAATCAATAGGCCGTTGACAATGTCATTACCAGATGTCAAAAGACACCCAAGAGGAAAACCAATACAGGACCTTGAGCAAAAGAATTATTGTGGGGCCTAAAACTTCGATATTGTACCCCATCTTCAAGAGAGTGTTTATGTATTTTCTCAGCCTTTTTTTCCTCCTTATAGCTAACGTGTGTAGAATCATCAAGATGGCCTATTTTCATATCTATCGCATCTTTCTTGCTATATTTCACTAAACAAAGTGTAAAAAAAACCTGCTTTGCATCGCTTCTTCCATTTTCAGTTTAAAGGACAAACGCTCACCCCATTCGCGTCTCATTCGCAGTCTGACCATAACCGAATTAAGTCAACCCAACCTCATTTTTCGTGCTCAGGAGCGTCGTTCATTGCAATTTTGGAATATATCCCACCAGGCTTGGCAAGATGCCTTTGCAAAGCCTCTAGAAGAAGAAAAGCACGACCGCGTGTCCTCCTTCCTAGATAGGCTGTGGATTCGTGCTGTAAGTCTGTGCGATCAAACCAACAATTCCACAACTGAACTGCCCGCGCGCACGCAGTCCTCCGTGGCATCAATTACTGCATCCAATACGCTGGAAGTTATACCCTCGTGTCAAACGTTGGCGGACGCTAATGGCGACGTGACGAAGGCTGAGACTGCTTCCTGCCACGAGGAAACAGCGTCTGTTCATACAAACATCGAGACATCCGAAATGGTACCCGAAGACGGAACAATGGTAGAAAGTACAACTGATGCGTATTATGCAAATGCAGTGAACGAAACGCCAAAATACGATGCGCTCGAGTCTACAACATCCGAAATGGACTCATTCGAAGATCTCGTTGAAACTTCTGACGCGGATAAGACGGAACCTTTTGCTGCTGCGCACGGATTAAACAGCTCCTCCGAAGGTTTGCTTAAGTTCATTTTCGCATTTGCACCAACGTTTTCTGGTTAACATTATCTCCGTTGTCAGTATTTAACCAGTTCCTGGCTCTGCAGTCAAGTTAGAGAACATGCGTGAGTGGACTATTCCATCACAGTACACGTATCTATGGCCAATACTGCAGTCGTAAGTTCGTCTCTTGCCCACTGAGCTGACCACTTCATTAGTGATAAGTACATTTGGCTTAGGTTGCACGAACCAGCCTTATTATCACATTAATTATATTGTCGGCCAACTTAACGCGCGAATAATGTGCCTAAACAGCAACAAGTGCCTATTCTTTTCAGTCGAAAAAAATTCTGGAGTCCAGGGCATTATGCCTTTCCAGGCGTTCCGCTTTATCTGGACAAGGGAACGCTACGTGCATTCACTGACCACATTTTCAGCTTGTTTCTGCTGGAGAGCTTGCTAACGCCATAGGGTGCTAACGAAGATGATATTTTTGAAGAAGAATGCTATATTGAGGATTGTAAAATCCTGGACTTTCGGTAAAATGGCTCCATTCACGGAGAGCAAAGGATAAGGTAAATAAGGGGTCATGTTAAGACGTCAAAGGTAAAAGGTCATGTAATACTCACAATTTAAGTTTTACACGATGTCTACATCAACTATGGAGACAGATCGGCTTTCAACTTCTCAATTTCCGCTTCTT